GAGAGGCAACTGAGAGGTCATGTCCCTCTCAGATCAAACCCTTCTCACTTGAAAAGCTTGTCCAAGGTGTTTTCTGTACCAAGATGCCACGTGTTGCAGTGTCTGACAAGATGAACATCAAAATGGTATACAATACCGACAGGTTGTTAGGTAAGACACATATGCAACAGTTAGACAACTTTATTCCGAAACGTTTCGCCTACACAGTAGGCTTCTTCAGTCGAATACAGAAAGTAGGCAGGAACAGTAGAGATGTGAAGACGATGTAATCAGTCCATCACCCTTAAAGTCGTAGAATTTGAGGTTGTCAGTCCCTCGGCCTGGAGAAGTTCAGTTCCATAGTCAGGAACTATCTGAAGATCAAGCGACAGTGCGGAGACTTAAATACTGTCGACAGTATTTAAGTCTCCGCACTGTCGCTTGATCTTCAGATAGTTCCTGACTATGGAACTGAACTTCTCCAGGCCGAGGGACTGACAACCTCAAATTCTACGACTTTAAGGGTGATGGACTGATTACATCGTCTTCACATCTCTACTGTTCCTGCCTACTTTCTGTATTCGACTGAAGAAGCCTACTGTGTAGGCGAAACGTTTCGGAATAAAGTTGTCTAACTGTTGCATATGTGTCTTACCTAACAACCTGTCGGTATTGTATACCATTTTGATGTTCATAGGGACGATGTTGGACACCTCATGAAATTCAATGAAGCTAAATTAGTGATTAAAGACGACGACTTAAGACGGAGAAAATGCATTGAAGCTGCACTAATTTCTGTCAGTAACACTATAAAGCAAAAATCCGGTAGTTACAGTATTTCAAAATTACTAATCAAGAGGATATTACCCATCCTGGGAACTGCTGTTACATGATGTCAGCAGGTCCCTCTCTTACCTTACCACAATAGTTCCACCACTACTACTACTACTACTACTACTACTACTACCTCTACCCATGCGTCACTTCGCCTAACTCCTGCCACTATATATATGCGTTTTTTTAGTTTTCTCTGTATTAGGACTGAAGAAGCCACTCGTGGCGAAACGCTTCTTTAATAAATGTCCTGAACTGTACATAAGTGTCTTTTTCGACATCTTGTCAGTATCACCATACTATTTCCTCAAAGAACTTTGTCCTTGGAGGCAAAGAGGGGAATGTATGAGAGTATAGTTTTACCAACGCTCTTATATGGGTGTGAAGCATGGGTGAAGAATGTTGCAGTGACGAGAAGGCTGGAGGCAGTGGAGATGTAATGTCTGAGGGCAATGTGTGGTGTGAATATAATGCAGAGAATTCGTAGTTTGGAAGTTAGGAGGAGGTGCAGGATTACCAAAACTGTTGTCCAGAGGGCTGAGGAAGGGTTGTTGAGGTGGTTCGGACATGTAGAGAGAATGGAGCGAAACAGAATGAGTTCAAGAGTGTATCAGTCTGTAGTGGAAGGAAGGTGGAGTAGGGGTCGGCCTAGGAAAGGTTGGAGGGAGGGGGTAAAGGAGGTTTTGTGTGCGAGGGGCTTGGACTTCCAGCAGGCATGCGTGAGATGTTTAAAGGGTGAATGGAGCAAAAGGTTTTTTAATACTTGACTGCTTTTGGGAGTGTGAGAAAGTAAATTTATGAAGGGATTAGAGAAACGGCGGCTGGATTGAGTCCTGAAGGGAAAAGCACGGCCCTGCACTTGAAGGGGGGTGTTAATGTTGCATTTAAAAACTGTAGTTTTAAACACCCTTCTGGCAAGACAGTGAGGAGGTGGGGGAAAAGTTTTTTTTTTCGGGCCACCCTGCCTTGGTGGGAATCGGCAAGTGTGTTAATAAAAAAAAAAAATAAATTTTCCTTAAAAAGAGGTGAAGACTTAAAATTTCATTCACTTGTTAGAAAAAGAATGGGGGGATGGATCAAAATTATAAGTGGAAAATGGGTATTAATAAAGGGGATATTTAAAAAGGTCTTGGGATATCTTTCCAAAAAGAAACCCACAGTAAAGGTTTTTAAATTAGACAAGTTTAATTTAGAAAGGACATAGGAAAGTCGTAGTTTGGAAAAAGGTAGGATGAGTGGAACAGTCTACCGTTGGGTTATTTAGGTAGGCTTCAAGTAGTTTCAAATTTGGGTTTGGATAAAATATGAGGAGGGGTTGGGTTGATGGGACTTGCAAATGAGTGGATAGAGTTATCAGATGGATGGATTGTAAGGGCCTGCCTAGTAGGGCAAAGGCCGCTGTAGTGATCCTCCCTTTTTTGTTCTTTGTTCTCGGTCTCTCTCTCTCTCTCTCATTCTTCTTCTGTTCTCTCTTTCTCTCTCTCTATTTGGAAAAGGTAATAGGCATTTTGGAAGATATACTTCCGTTGCCTCAAAAATTTAAAGGATGTTTTACAAATGTTGCCAAGGGTTATTATCTGGTTTTTGATTTTCCTCAACCACTTGTGGCCACCCCTCCAAAACTGCTAAAAATTTGGGGTCAAATCATTTTCTTTAAAAGGGGTGTAAAAATGAAGGCTTTTGTGGAGCCCCGGGTTCCCTGCTGTTTGCTTTTGTGGTGTCAATTGAATGGTGCTCCATGAAACTCTAAGTGGTCCCAGATTTTTTTAATACTGCACACACTGAGGGTTAAGACCCATTCTGTGCTGCCTAGGCCTATCAGGCCTCTTGTGCCAAATTTGAAGGTAGGAAACATAAAATGTCGATCTACATTTGGAGTGCTAGCAGTAAGAACAGAGGTCACCCTAGTGTGCCTTGGCTGAGGGTGACTTATGACCTTTGATGAGTTTCAAGAGTCTTACTACACTTGGAGCCCGGCCGTAGGCCAGGCTCATCTGATGCTAGCCTGGTCAATTAGGCTGTTGCTGTTGGAGGCCCGCTGTCCCACACATAAGTACATGCCTAATTTACTTCTCTTCTAGAATAATTTTTAAAGTCTCCTCTTAATATAATCTCTTCAATTATTTCTATTTCTCAACAATTTATACAGATATTTTCCAGATGTACAACAAAGTAGAAATTGGACAGGCAGATGGAACACCACTACATTTGGCAGCTGAATGCAATATGCAATATGTACAAAATATTACCAATACATGCCAGTGTACCATATCTATAAATAACAAAAAAAAGGCACAATACCGTGACTGGAACGATACACAAATAACCCGCACATAAAAGAGAGAAGCTTACGGCGACGTTTCGGTCCGACTTGGACCATTTACGAAGTGACTTTGTAAATGGTCCAAGTCGGACCGAAATGTCGTCGTGAGCTTCTCTCTTTTATGTGCGGGTAGTTTGTGTACCATATCTATGACTAGCAATATTTTTATGAATAAGATTTGTATTTTCAGGTACTCTTTTATCAGTAATATAATGAAGAGTTAAATTAAAATTTATGTACTATCTACTGTCACAATACTGCAACTGAAACAAATAGCAACTCACAGTTTTGAATGTCAACTTTAGATGATGTTCAGCCTGTGTTGGACCATTTTCATTGTGTCACTCGATAATGGTCTAGGACCAACCTAATCATTATTTAAAGTTTGGTTTAAAAAGGCACATGAACAAACACTTGAATGTATTTATTAGACAACAAAATGGTGATAGGACTTTGATCACTTTCAACATACAGAGGTGTGTTAGAAATGAGTTAGAAGTGATCAAGGTCCCAGGACTGAGATGTTTTCTAATACAGTGGACCATCGACCAACGATGGCATTGTCTAACGTTAAATCCGACTAGCGATACATTTTAACGCAAAAATTTTGCCTCGACTAGCGCTAAAATACTCAACCAACGCGATTCGTTCCACATGTGGCCTCAGCACGCCAGTGTTTACAAGCCAGCCAACCACCGCGGTCCCCTCCAAACATACAATCGGAACATTTCATATTATCACAGCGTTTTTAGTGATTGCACCTGCAAAATAAGTCACCATTGGCCCCAAGAAAGCTTCTAGTGCCAATCCTACAGCAAAAAGGGTGAGAATTACTATGGATATGAAGAAATAGATCATTGCTAAGTATGAAAGTGGAGTGCGTGTCTCCGAGCTGGCCAGGCTGTACACAAAACCCCAATCAACCATCGCTACTATTGTGGCCAAGAAAAAGGCAATCAAGGAAGCTGTTCTTGCCGAAGGTGCAACTATGTTTTCGAAACTGATATCGCAAGTGATAGAAGATGTTGAGAGACTGTTATTGGTGTGGATAAACAAAAAACAGATAGCAGGAGATAGCATCTCTCAAGTGATCATATGTGAAAAGGCTAGGAAGTTGCATGACAATTTAATTAGAAAAATGCCTGCAACTAGTGGTGATGTGAGTGAATTTAAGGCCAGCAAAGGTTGGTTTGAGAGATTTAAGAGGGGTAGTGGCATACATAGTGTGATAACCTTTTTTGATGAAAATCACCCTGACACAGCTACTGCAAGCCGTGTTGGCAACCTGTACACTGACAATGTTGTCAAACACTTTAGGAATGTCATAAAGGAACGACAGATATGTTGTGCAACAGAGGTCCAGTGACTCTCAAGCTGGTCTTAGTGGCATTAAAAGAAGAAGGGAAGTAACCCTGGAAAAGGACTTGACACTTCAAGTCTTAATGGAAGGGGATTCCCCTTCTAAACACTAACACCATCCACACTCTCCCCTCCTCCCATCCCATCAATCATCACCAGATCTTCAATAAAGGTAAGTATCATGTAATTGTACATGTCTTCTTCAGTTTGTGTATATTAAAATTAATATTTCATGTGGTAAAATTTTTTTTTTCAATACTTTGGGGTGTCAGAAATGGATTAATTTGATTTCCATTATTCCTTATGGGGAAAATTAACTCGACTAACGATAATTTCTACTAACAATGAGCTCTCAGGAACGGATTAATATCGTTGGTCGAGGGTTCACTGTACAGCCTCTCCTCACTTAGTGACATACTCCTTTACTGATGACTCGGACTTACAATGGGCTCTCTGACCAGTATGTATACCTAAATAATGTACAGTGGAACCCCAGATTTCGTACTTAATCCATTCCAAAAGGTCGTTCTAAATCTGAAAAGTGCAAAAACTGAAGTAATATTTCCCACAAGAAATAATGTAAATACAATTAATCCGTTCCAGACACCCAAAAATATTCACAAAAAAATCATTTTTTAAAGAATAACAATAGTTTACCATACAGAAAACAATGATAACTAAATATAAATAAATATAAACATTGCATACCTTTAATGAAGACTCTTGTTGGTGTATTAACCCATAAACGGTTCAAACGTATATATACATTTTTATCGCTAGTGCCCCAAACGTATATATACGTTTTATGTGTCCTACATTTAACATTGCCACGATAAGCCTGAGTCGCCTAGACATGTGAGAATGGGTGTGAGCACTCACTGTGCACCATATTAACCCTTTGACTGTTTCCGACGTATAAATACGTCTTACGAGCCAATGTTTCTGACGTGTTTATACGCACAAATTCTAGCGGCTTCAAATCAAGCGCCAAAGGGGCCCGGTAGGCCTACACGAGGGGGAATGGGTCTCAATGGTCGGTGTGCACCCTGTGAAAAAAATCTGGGACCCAGCGGTGCATTGTGGGAACACCATGTTGTTAGTCCATTTTCACCATGCCTCTCGATAAGAAGTTCCTCACTCCTCGGCGGATTGGAGGTCTTTTGTTCCCAAGTGATAGCTTAAACAGCGATGAAAATGTCAGTGACAGTGATTTCCAGTGTATTGAAGTGAGTGTTGTTACCGGAAAATAAGTGCCCAGGTTAACGTAATTAGTGAATGAAAACCCAGATGACCAACAACCTTCACCTCTGGTGGCTGGGCCGGCTTGTTTCATGTTCACATTGCCTGTTCCAGGATGAAAGAGGAAACTATTTGGTCGTGTTACATACACCCAGATGTTTGCATGTGATTAGTGATAGTGATTTCAAGGTCATTGGAAAGCAGTTCTAGTGACGGGAGAGTAAATATTCCCCAGTGAAGCCGGCAGTTGTACGACGTGCTTGCGGTCTGGTAAAGTGTTTCCATATGTTGTTTCCAAGGGAAGGAGATATCTGGGAGCACATTCCCCTGGACCTACTCCTCGACCCTGTAGTGAAGATGACGATATTGTAACGATGGGTATGAATGATGTGAGTGATGGAGCAGACAGTGGGGTGATAGTGAGGGTGGCTACGGCCCATTGTGGCACCATCTGCGGGCCACGATCACTACCCCACGCTGCTGACTATGGCACATACAACCAGCCTCACCTACCCCACACTCCCACAAACCGCCACCCACAACTGCATACAACCACAACCTGCACAACCACAACCACGGTACAATATCCAGACCCACCAGCAGACCGCATCTGGGATTGCCAGGACGGGTGACGAGTTTGTTCCAGTCCCCATGACTTTGATGAAAACACAAAGTGGAAAATTAAGCCATATTGTCCACCTTGGGAACAATGCCTAGTGAACTAGCGCTGCTTTGAGTTATTCTTCGATGAACCCTGATGGACATCCATTGTCAGGGAACATTAAAACACATATGTGATACACCATGGCAATACAATTCTCTAACCAAAATCCCGGCTACACAGTGAGAAGGAGACAACTGTGCAGAGATGTACCTGTTTTTTGCCACAATAATGCTTATGCACATGTGTATAAGCAACACTGTCACCACATACTGCGGCAACAGAACGCTGATTTCATACTCCTGTTTTAGTGACTTATAGGTGTCAAGCGTCCTGATACTGTTACTATGTTACCACTTTTCAGACAAAACCAGGCCTGACAGAAGCGACAGGTTATATAGATCAGAAATGTGTTTAAGTACTGAAAAAAAGTGTGCATGTATTTTTATCCTTCAGGAAGCTTGTTATGAGAAGTCCGTCGATTTTATTCAAGGAAGACTCTCATTCAACAATATATACAAAGCAAGAGGAAAACACTTTGGTTATAAAGCTATTTGTCTGTGTGATTGCAGAAGTGTCTTGTTTTGGATATCATTGTGTACATTGGCAGTAATACTTTGACGGGATACCATGAAGTTATTGGGTATCTCTGGTGTGTGGTTCGAAACAATGATGGAAACCATATCTTGGTAAGGGGCTTATGTTATTTACTGATAATGGTACACAAGCCCCTTACTCAGTGATTTCTTGCGAGGCGAACTTGACAGACGTTGTGTGGCCACAGTGTGTCGTAATCGTAAAACATATGCCAAGGGTCGTCGATGGCACTCGCAGAGGTGAGATGCAAGCCTTTTGCTGCCAATGGACATCATGGCATTTTGAGTGGATGACAAACGTGATGTCACATTGTTGACATCAGTTCAAGAAACGAAATGGAACCAGTGGCAGGGGACAACAGAGAGACAATGAACCCATTCTAAAGCCTGCAGCTGTCATGGGACTACAACCTCAATATGCGCTTAGTGGACAATGTGACATGCAGATTGGGTTTATGCAGACTGTGTACGAAAGAGTTATAAAGTGGTATATAAAACTTTTTTTCCATCTTGTTGATATCTCTATGCTAAATGCTTATAACATTATACAAGTTGAAGACAACAAAACACCAAAATATGGTGAATTTTGCCTTGTCAGTAATCAGACAAATAATTGCAAGTACCAAGAGAGCCAACTCCTGAAAATAGACCTGTGCCAACACAGTCATCTCGTTTTCAGGCCTGGTGTATCACTTCCCCATACAACTGCCTCCTATACCTGCCAAGAAATAATTGCTCAGAAGAGGTGTTATGGTTTGCATTCCACAAAACGCCACAAAACTCGCAGAGGACACTCGTTTTTGTGTGAGAGTGTAAGTGCCCCTCTGCATATACCCATGTTTCAAAGAGTTCCAAAAGCTGCAGCAGGTTCTAGAAACGTGTTTAGTGACTGTACATATGTATATATATTATGGAACAATAGTAATACAACATTGTTTTTGTATTGTTTGTTTGTGTAAACAAAGTGTTACACAAACTATTAGTGATTAAGTCTTGTTCTGTTATTGTGATGTAAACAATGAGGTATATTTGAAGATTACACCCTTTACAGTGGTGTCTCACAGGCCACCATAAGTTACCTGGAACAGAAAAAATATTGAAAAATGCGAGAAACTTTGTATTAGAGTAAATAAAAGAATACCGGCCGTGGGCGACGTCGCCGCTTGTTGCCGTACGCACGTCACCTTTCTGCAAAAACTTTGAGGATCTATATCTCGGTAAGTACTGATGGCAAAATTTTTTTATTAGGCTTAAAACACTCACTGCCCAACGTAGATCTACGGTTCACATGTTGAAGCGTTCCGAACGTAGATTACATTTTTTTTTTATCATTTGATGAAAAGCATGTAAAATAAAAAGTTAGATCTACGTTCGAGTGCTACGCATGTGAAATGTAGATCTGCATTTGGACAGTTTAAGGTTTTTTAAATGATATTGAGATTTTAGGACAACATTATTAGTTAGGATTTCCCTTATGCAGTTAACTAACACAATATGTACAATAATAAAGGTAGCTAATGAATAAATGGTCAGTTACTAAATTATGACCTACTATAATAAACTGAGTCAACGATCTGCAGTTTTGTGGAGTGGCTGAATAGGGATGGTGATGATACAGCAAGTTACAGAAGGCACGGTCCATATATCTAACTTAAGTTGCTGACTACAAAGATATTCTTACCTTCTATTTAGGAGAAACACTTACTGTTGGGGAGAGCAGAAATATGATTTTTGTGCCTTCAAGTCTGCTTGTTGCTGGTAATCCATTAACTTTCACTACCTCCAACCACCTCACACTCATTGTTACACTTATCCAAGTGAATTTTCAATTTATTTTACTGCTTGAGTACAGCTTTCTCTTTTAAGACCTTGGCCTAGTAAGCAACACTTTCGCTTCACACACTGACTGTCCATGATTCGATCCCGGGTCGGGTGGAAACATTTGGGGGTGTTTCCTTACACCTGCTGTCCCTGTTCACCTAGCAGTAAGTAGGTACCTGAGTGTTAGTCGACTGGTGTGAGTGAGATACTGGGGACAAAATTAACTTGTGTTAAATGTTCTGCATAACCAAAGGCTCTCTATATAGTATGTCACTGATGTCAGCTATGGTCTGTATAAATTGTGTTATAAAGAGATTATTACTAAAGACTAAAACACTAGAGAAGCAAGTCCAGGTAACACTAACACTTCACATTAATTCCTCAAGTAACAGCTGAGTCCAGGTAATACTAACACTTCACATTAATTCCTCAAGTAATAGCCGAGTCCAGGTAATACTAACACTTCACATTAATTCCTCAAGTAATAGCTGAGTCCAGGTAATACTAACACTTCACATTAATTCCTCAAGTAATAGCTGAGTCCAGGTAATACTAACACTTCACATTAATTCCTCAAGTAATAGCTGAGTCCAGGTAATACTAACACTTCACATTAATTCCTCAAGTAATAGCTGAGTCCAGGTAATACTAACACTTCACATTAATTCCTCAAGTAATAGCTGAGTCCCAGGTAATACTAACACTTCACATTAATTCCTCAAGTAATAGCTGAGTCCAGGTAATTACTAACACTTCACATTAATTCCTCAAGTAATAGCTGAGTCCAGGTAATACTAACACTTCACATTAATTCCTCAAGTAATAGCTGAGTCCAGGTAATACTAACACTTCACTTTAATTCCTCAAGTAATAGCTTAGTCCAGGTAATACTAACACTTCACATTAATTCCTCAAGTAATAGCCGAGTCCAGATAATACTAACACTTCACATTAATTCCTCAAGTAATAGCTGAGTCCAGGTAATACTAACACTTCACATTAATTCCTCAAGTAATAGCTGAGTCCAGGTAATACTAACACTTCACATTAATTCCTCAAGTAATAGCTGAGTCCAGTAATACTAACACTTTACATTAATTCCTCAAGTAATAGCTGAGTCCAGGTAATACTAACACTTCACATTAATTCCTCGAGTAATAGCTGAGTCCAGGTAATACTAACACTTCACATTAATTCCTCAAGTAATAGCTGAGTCC